TTGGCAACTGGCATGTATTTATGACAGTTGCAGTGTCCCAGGGTCCCATGATCATCTTTTAAGACCTTCTGACAAGCAAAGCCAATGGGGAAGCCAGATTCAGTTAACAACCATATTTAACAACTGAGGCAGGAAAGGTTGTAAAATCAGGTAAAACTCACTTAACATCTGTTTTGCTTAACAAAAGAAAATTTGGGCTCAATTGTGGTCATTAGTCAAGGTCTACCAATATGTACACTTGTAACTAACTCAGACATATTTGGGACCTAGAATGGAAGTCCAAGAACAATGTAAAATATGAGTGTCTTCTGAAGGCTTTCTATGCGACTTAGGCCAAGCTAAATAAAAACTCTTTCAAAACACTGGATTTTAATTTTCATAACGAAATTATGGATTTGAAATTGAACACATATGAATAATTCTAGGCTGGACAAGGCCAACAAAACAAGAAAAAGAAGAACTAAAAAGGAATATAGTGTAAAATTCAGAATAGGTCAATACAATGCAAATAAACTTTATCAACTTTATTTTATTATTTCTTAGATATAATAAAATACTGAATATTTTGAAAAGTGTCGTAAAACAAAACAAAAAAATTCAAAGCAAGAAAAAATACCTTTAATGACATCAAAAGATGGATGTTAATGCGCTTTGTAACACTAATCCTTAAAAGGGCAGAGGAAACGGAAAGTAATAGTAGTCTTGTCTTATTTAACAAATGATAATAGTCTTCACATGACATTTACCATTTCACAAGAACACAAATTGGGATTTGAAATCTTTCTTGTCCAGTATTTTAATATTTATTTTAATATTTTAAGATAACATATATTATTGATTTTTGTCCTAAACGTAATCCATTAACTAAATGTCAATTTTTTTTTTTTGCAAATCTCACTGGTAAAAGGGAAAACAACTCCTCAAATATATAATTTTATTTTTTATTAAAAAGACTTTTGAAGAGTGACAAGCCCCCAGTCCCGTCCCGCTCACATATCCCTATTTTTTAAATCTGTAGTAATAGAAGTTTCAAATAAGTCAGTTTGCAGCATGCATTTTTAACTGGATAATCCATTTCAACATTTTTGTTAATTTGACTATTATCTGCTAACAGTTAGAAGGAGCATACATATACATATAGTTCATACATTGAAATATAACTCTTTTGATTCACAGCCAGCATGAGAATTGGTTGAGAAGCTTATTCCATTCCATTTGGGGACATGATATAATAAAACTGCCACTATTTTTTTGTTTCCATTTCAAGCCCCAGTGCAAACACAGCATTGAACATGCAGTGATAATGTGTTTCATGCAGTGCTCACACAAAAACAACAGATAGATCACCACTACCTGGAGGGTCTGAACTTGCTGGCCTGAGGCAGATGCCACCTGAGCCTCAGTCTGCAACTGGACAGCAGTCACACCGCCCTGCTGCTAGGAACAGGAATAGGAAGAGCTTGAAACTTGGCAGGAGGAAATGCTCAAGACAAGATTAAAAAAAATAAACTGCCAGAAAAGACAACAGGCCCTACAAGGTGGAATGAGCGAGTCCATTTCTAATGTAGTAGCCTACCCATGTTTAATCTGCATATATTATTCTCGGGTCAAAAAGATAATACATACACACCCTTTCGCAGTGCAAAGTTTGGAAGTTCTAAATAAGGACAGAAAAGAAATAGATGAATTACTTGTGGCTTCTGAAGGGAAGAAATCTAAACACACTGATATTGTATTGTGCCTAAATCAGTGTATGCCTTGCACTGTGATCTCTCTCAGAAAAAAAGCACTGAAATGTAAGAAATGTAAGAAACAGACAAGATAATAAAAAAAACCCAGTATGATAAGCATAACCTAATTTACATTAAACCAAGAGATATCTAACTTTATACGTAGTACTGTAGTTAAGTATTATGCAGACATTATTCACAAACAAAACATTACATTAGTGTTAGAGCTGGCCAAGGAATAGACAAACCATTTAGTTTTCATAATTATGCTTTAACATATAGAGATTAAATGTGCCTTTGTAGGGCTATGCAAACCATATGGAAGTACAATTCATTTTGGCAGAAATTCTGGCAGAAGTACCCTGTGTGCACATATACAGGCAACAACATTGGGGAGGGGGCATGATTGCTTTTACACTCAAAGAAGTGATGCTTCTTTTGAGCAAAAAGAGTAACACAATATTTTGCACAGTTCTAACAGTGAGTATGGAAGTAACTATTCTTCTGGGCACTTAAAACTGTTAAGAACCAACATACTGAAATCTGAATTACAAATAACTATCATACCTGTTGCTGTATTTGTCCAGCCTGCACAACTATCTGCTCTGTTGAGCTACTGCTGTTTGTGGTGTACTGCTCCATAGTTTTCTGTATCAATTCTTTATCCAATCTTCAATCAGAAACCTAAAATAAAACATAGAACATTCTTGTCAGTATTGAGTGCAAATTATCTGGGAACCCTAAAATAATGAAGAGGGCTGAACTGCAACATAGTAAAATGGTGGAAATTGAGAAACAAATTATTTCCAGGTAAAGCAGAATTTCAAAAGCGAACATCACTAGTGGCATTAGGGCAGATGACTGGGTTAAAGTTCTGGGTCTCTAGAAGTTATGAAAAGGATTCTCTTCTCCCACTTACCAAACAATTTTTTTACTATAGATATTATTGCATTTATTACTCAATTTATACCTTGCTTATCATCTTGGAAATTCAAGAATGCACAGGGTTTTTACTCATTTTACCCCCATCAACAATAGGCAATGTAATAGGCACTGTTCAGTGGGAAATTTGGTTTACATCCTCTTGGTTAAATTCTGTCAACAACAAACACCTAGTAATTCAACTTCCTACACATCAGTTCTAAGTATATCGGCTAAGTATATGGTGGCTATAAATTAGATTATTATCTGCAGGTAATTAGGTTTGGAGAAGAGTGAAGTAGTGGAAGTACCTCCAACAGATCCAAGCATGATGTAGTTTGAAGGAGTAGGACTACAATGCTTCAGGCAAACAACATTCAAATATTCAGATCTTCTGATTAATATTGCAGGACACTGCCAGTGCTAATTTAGTCAAACTGAAATTGTTTTTCATTAAATGTATTTGTACAAGACACAATATTTCAGCAAATCCTACTGATAAGCTGAAAACAGAATGGGTCTGACTTCCTTCTAAATTCAGTTGTGAGGCCAAGGAAGAGACAAGCAGGCTATAGATTGTGAGATTTTGTATTGAGTGGAACAATTTGCTTCCAGAAGTTGGGGGTGCTCCAACACTGGAGGTTTTAAAGAAAAGATTGGACAGCCATTTGTCTGAAATAGTATAGGGTTTCTGCTTGACCAGGGGGTTGGACTAGAAGACATCCAAGGTCCTTTCCAACTGTTATTCTATTACTAGTAAATTCTACTCTTTGTTTTCAGCAGAAAAATGATGCACATTTGTCAAATTGCAGAGATAGCCAATGGAAAACTATTGTACTTTAGCCTTACATTTGAAATATCACCTTCCTTTCTCTATTTTAACTACATGTTAAGCTTACTCGCATATAAAGTTATTTTGATTAGCTTTTTTTAAAAAAAGCCAACAATACAAATTCTAGACTGAGCCACAAAGCATGATCTCTGTAAGCTTTTATGTTCAGTGGTATAATAAACAAATACAGAACATAATGAAAGCACAAAACCAAAACAAATCTATCATTCCCTAACATTGAATTTAAGAAGTCCTATATAGTAATCCTCTTTGTCATAAGGAATTATGTTGAAAGCCACTAAATTATTTTGTACAGGAAATACATAAAAGGATTTCACACACACACAAAAAATAGAATAAGTTGCCATAAGGTTATTCTAACATGACAGGAGAAAACATGCCTTTACTCCACCGTTTATTGAAAGGCTCTTCTTTCGGGTTACCGGTCAGCCTATCCAATATACATTTGTAGTAGTTATGTGAGCAGTTTACAACTGGCATAAGCAGCAGTGGCTTTCATCCGTGGCAGATTATTTTAGCAGAACTGTAACACGATATGCAAGGAAAGCCCCTTTGTTTTTTGTCATGGGAAAAAACAGCTATGAAGGGGCCTTCTCGGCTACAATACAGTGTATCGATCTCGATCGAAGGCGAAATTTTAGAGGGAAAAATTTGGCAGAGCGGCTGACGGAGAAGCGCAGCGCTCTGAGCCCCGCGGTGTTCGGTTACAGTCCGTGCCCTGAAAGGCGTGCGAGCGAAACTGACCTCCAGGGCCAGAGGCCGCCAAACACAGGATGGCGAGCCCCTTACACAGGCCCCTGGAAGCCGCCCCGTGATGCCACCAGAGGAAACCCCCCACGGGCTTTCTCTCGTTCCCTTCCTCCAGCCTAGGCCACACAAAGTCATCTCCGAAGGTCCTCCGGCGGTCCCGCGGGGACCGGGCCGAGCAAGACGGGACTAGCTAACCCTACCCGGCCCAAACAGTGATATCCCCGTTCCCACGTCAGCCACCCATCCCACTTCGATTCAGGTTCCGGGCGCCAACGGGCCACAGCCACTCGCTGCCCCAGCGCTCGCCCAGCCCTAGCCCGCACGCGGCCTTCTGACTGGCCACTCGGCCCCGCCAATCCCGGCTCTTGGGCCGGCGCTCGGGGGCTCCATATTGGCTGCTCGAACTCACCGTGCCTTGCTCCCCCGGTTCGGGTCCCGCTCTGATTGGCTCCGCCACCGGTCCCCGAAACCCAATCAGCGCCTCCACTCAGCCGCCGCGCAAAATGGCGGCCAACCCCCGAAGCCCAACAAAGAGAAGGCGAGGGTGCCCTCGCGCAGGCGTACTAGAAAAGTTCCTCCCGCGGATGCTTGCGCTGGTTTAAAACTGCACGCATGCGTTGGCTTCTTTCGAACTGACGGGTGCGTTTGGACCGTTTCTGTTCTCTTTCAACCCTTCCATTCCCGAGATGACTTTTCTACGCATGTGCGGACAATTTCCCCCCCTCCCAGTTTTTTTTTTTTAACGCACTTCACGGATCCCCCTTCTTTCTATAAACGCATGCTCTCGGCCGGTGCCATAGAGTCCTCTTCCTAGGGAGGCCCACGCGAAGGCTGACATTTTGTGTGTTTTGTTTAAGGGGCTCCCAAAGACGGTTACCATAACAGAACTTAGAACTTAGTGGGAGGCGAAACTGATTGCTGCTGTTGCATATGTAGGCTGGTGACTGGTTGTGGTTCTTTTTTTTCCCGCTTTCGCCATTGCTGGCTTAGAGAGTTCGTGGGCGGGGGCGGGCGTCATGCCTTGGAGGCACCTCGAGGGACAGCCGCCTGCCCTTTGGTGCAGCTTCGCCGGTTGTGTTAAAAACAGTGCTGGTGTGGCCCTGCGTAGGCCTTTCACACGAGAGGGTGAAGGATGTGTTAAAAAGTCTCAGAATTATTATTTTTTGGGGACGGGGAGGGGAAGGTTATCGCTAGGTAACTGGTGCCCTAATTCGTATTTGATTGTGTGTATATATACATATATATATGTATGTATGTATATATGTATATATATGTATATGTATATATATATATAGTTATTTCCTTTTGTTTACTTTTCCTGCCATGAATATGAAAATTATTATTTTCTAGTCCTTGTAGCTGAAAAAAAACCCTGTGATCCACCCAGTTATGGCTAGTACCTGGATTTCTGGAAATGAAGAAAGGGTTTGTAGTGGAGTTTTTTAAAATTTATTGCAATTCAGTTTTGAATTATAAAGATAGTTTTATTTCTCAACAGAAATGAACTGATCTCTTTAAAAAAATCTGGCTACTTTTGTAAAACTTTGTTGGAATTAATTTTTCCATAGGTTTCACTTCATCTTAATACGCTAGCAATATAGTTCTGCCAAATAGGTTATAATACAATTCATTTTCAGTACTAGTTTTTATATTTTAGCCATTCTGCAATGTCTAAGTCAACGTTGTTGGTAGTTCTGCCTTTTTCTCACCCAGCCATGTCTTAAGACAGGCTAATTGCTCTGGTGTAAAAACATTGTAGTAAAAAACAAACAAACAAACTTGCAACTGAAGAAGTACCCAGATATAATGGCTGACTCTTTTTTTTCTCCTCCTTTAATGGATTCATAAGAAAATTTATCCCTTACCATTTGGCAATTTCCCAAAGCAGTATGTCTATGGAGATTCCAGTTGTCCAGGTCATAGTTGTCCCAAAGATGCTTTTTTTGCCTCTTGAAAAAAAAGTATCTTTGGGATGCCAAAGCAGTAGTTAGAAAGCTATAAAGTATAATATAAATCAGTAGCTTTTCCTGTTCTGTTTAAAAATTTCAAAGTTACTCTATACCAATGTTTATAAATAAGAAATAGTGTTGTTACAGTAAGAGTGTATTTGGAATTTCAAGAGTAATTTTGTGATTGATGCACTCACAGAATGGCTAATATACTAAATTTTCCTTTTAACAAAGTGGCTACAATCTAGTAGAAACTTTGTGGGGCCAAGAAGAATAGTTCCAAATAAATATGATGCTAAAAGAAAGGTGAGGCTTACAGCCTAATGGTGTCAGTGCATATATCTGGATGTATATTTGCTTCCATGCATATTGCATTGTTTTGCAGGAAATGAACCACAGGCATGTTGTGCAGAAGCCGTGTTTGCTATATTCTAAGTCATTAATCATGCTTGAAAATCACAGTGATATTAAATTCCAAATTATGTGAAATTTAATGATTGAACTTCACTAAAGTATGTTCTGTGAACATACATATATTATCATACATCATATAATATATAAAATATCTTTTATATGATACGTTATATAAATTAAATTAGAATATTAATTAAAATAGATCATCTAAGGACAAAAACTCTCCCAAATAATTCCTCCTTTGCAGATTGCAAAGAGGAAATAATTATACAAGGTGAAGTCAAGGTGAACCTCACTTGTGTTTTTACCTTCTGCAGTGTTATTGATTATATTATAAAACAAACCATAATATAAACTAACCCAATTTAAATTGTGTATATTTATCTGAAAGTAATTGGAACTTGCGTATAGTTCATTGGACCTGTTGAAATTTTGATGTGACTTTTTTTTAGTATAGATACAGAAAATGAAGCTCATTAAGATAGAAATTGTCCTAAAGTTCTGCAGTAAGAGACATGTACCTTTAGAAAGAATAGAAGAGTTTTCTGCCATCCTAATGTTTGCAGCATAAATGATTTGTTGATTGTTGGCATGGAATACTTAAATTGATTTTACATTACAGCATAAGAATTACCAGAATAGATTGCAGCATGAGTCTATATAAGAAGTTGGCCAATATTTCAAAATCTCTTTTTGTATAGCATGAAGCCTCAGATTTCAGTGGCATGAGATTAGATAATTACTCCCCTAAAGGTTTATAATTATGATTTTCCTGATATGTTTGCAGTGATGTATGTTTTCTTAATGGAAACACACCAGATTCTGCTATTTAGAAAAGTATAGTAAAAAATTCAGTGGCACTCTGTAAAGTACTGGTGGCGTAATTCTCCGTTTCATAAATTATCCAAGTGCCATTCACAGAGTGCACAAATACCCTAACTCAGCAACTGTAGAACTTTGTTTCTAAAATAACTATAGTTGCCGGTAGTCAGTGTAATGATTCCACTGAAGGCTTTAAGAAAATGATTGCTTAATTCAATGGAAGTTCCTTTTGAAGAGAATTATTATCATGATTCAAAACAAAAATTTAAAATTTCAGCTTTCCTGATATAAATTTAAAAATAAGAAAGGCCGTTGAAGAAATTAAAATAAAATAAATTAGTAATCCAAAACATATCTAGCTGTCTACAGATGAACAGCCAGGCAAGAAGCTGACATTAAAATAAAGCCAACTTAGTATCAATCTCCACAAAGAGGAGGATCCCGAATCTAGGTGTTAGACTTTGGAAGAGTTTCTCCTGTCTCTGCACGATATACAACTGTGAAAGGAGAGAAAGAGACTTTAATATTTATGTGGATATATACCAAGAGAAAAGATCCTTTGGATATTAGAGAAAACAACATTGAACTTATTGTAGGAAATCAAGAAAATGTCTGAGAAGGTGGCAGTGGCAAGCCAGTGTAGTACTGTTGCCCAGAAAACTAAATGAAATCAACAAGAGTTAAGCTCAATTTATGGATGCTGGCAGCATATGTTACTGAAGGCATAATACATATTTTTCTTGGAAATAAATTCTATTTCATTATTTTATTTTGTGCATATCTCAAAAGAAGCCCTATTTTATATAGTGAGAAATTTAGTAAATATTAAAATCTCTTGTGTATACCAGTCAGCAGCTTAAACTGTGATATTATCTTTATATATTGCCTTACATTTTCTCATTCTGGATTTTTATCTCATATATTGAGTCGTCTTTTTCATTTTTACCCAGATTAAATATGTGCAGGGAGATCTTTTTACTTGTCCAGAAACAGATTCCTTGGCTCACTGTATTAGTGAGGATTGTCACATGAGTGCTGGCATAGCTGCTATTTTTAAGAAGAAGTTTGGTGGTGTTCAGGAACTTTTGAATCAACGTAAGTAAAGGGCCAAGGTAGAACAGTTCATAGAACCACAGAATCTAGGTACTATACAGTAAAAGTGAGTGTTATGCAAATAGATTCTTTCAGATGACAGATACACTTTTTTATGTCCTGCTCAACTAATACCTTTATAATGTGCTCCGGATGGGGGGTTTTGAGTGGGGGAGTTTCTAGACTAGCTTTTGAGGGCATTTAGTGGTCAGGGACAATTTCCCCTTCTTATTTCATTGTTTCCATTAGAAACCATTTAAAACAAGTATAAACATAGTTAATAGTAACAAAAATAATAGTTATCAAATAATGTTCAGAAAATAATGCCTCAGAAGAGGTTTAACTTGCTGTAGCTGTACAACTCTTTCAAATGGAGCTACTAATTTTCATCATATTGTATGCCCCTGCCTTGTAAGACAAGCAGCCAGAAGTTCTTTACTTTTTGTTACTTTACTTTTTGTTTAAAAGTATCTAAACAAGGCCTGTGTTGTTGCTACAATAGATGAATAGAACCACTAGGTCAGGTGTGTCAAACTCAAGGCCCAAAGGCCAGATACAGCCTGTTGGGTGCTTAAATCTGGCCCATGGGGCCGCCCTGGAAACAGTGGACTGGCCACGGTGCTTCCGCCAGCAAAAACAGTGTGGGAGCCCCAACACAAGTGACGTTGAGCTGGCCAAAGTCCAGCCCCCCCCAGGTCAAACACAACCCTGATGCAGCCCTCAATGAAATCGTGTTTGACACCCCTGCACTAGGTGATTGAAGAGCTTACTTTGTATGTTAGCTCTTGGACTGTGGAAACTATTGATGGGGTAGGAATTTTATCAGTACATTATAGTTTTTAAATGTGCCCTATATGTAGACCATGGGTATCAAAATCGCTGCGTCACATGACATCACGTTTTTCCCTTTGCGGAGCTGGGGTGGGCGTGGCCTGCGTGTGAGGCACCCGACCCATGTTTGACACTCCTGATGTAGACTATTAATATACTTGTTACCAGTTTATTCAGTTGTACTACCTAGTATAATGTACAGTTGTAACTTGGAAATGTTAGAAATATGACAATGATCATATTACTTCACCATTTTAGAACAAATATAAACACGTATCGAATTTTTATCTACACTTGATTAAGTGTCGTTCAAAATTTTTACGTATGATCAATTTATATATTATTTAGTTTCTTTCAAAAAAATATATGAGAACGGGATGACCATGGTGCTTTCTTATATGTTTGTTATGATAGTTTTCAAAAATAATAAACATTTTCGGTGCTCTGAAGATTAGGAATTAACTGATTTTTCTAAAAAAAAATCTGACATAGACAAGAAGACTGGAGATGTGGCTATTCTGAAGAGAGAAACTAGATACATATATTACTTGGTATGTCATTGGGCACATTACTGGTATTTATTCTAGAGATAAATATATGATTTATGCATCAAGAATTATGATTGGCAAAAGTTAAACATCCTCTCCATTGACAAATATTGCTGAAATTTTTAATAGTTTTTCTGAAGGAATCACTATACAAATGCAATGTTTGCTGCATGAGAGATGAGCCGTGATGACTCAGTAGTTAGAAGGCAGCATTGCAGGCTAATTCTGCTGTTTGCCAGCAGTTCGATTCCCACCGGCTCAAGATTGACTCAGCCTTCCATCATTCTGAGATTGATAAAATGAAGACCCAGATTGTTGGGGGCAATATGCTGACTCTGTAAATTGCCTAGAGAGGGCTGTAAAGCACTATGAAGCAGTATATAAGTCTAACTGCTATTGCTGTTACTATGTAATAAGTTTTCAATTGACATCAAATAATCACGGCTTTCCTGTGATAAGTGGCATTGTTTCAATTGTAATCAAATTCAATGATTCATGAAGTTTTACTTCAGTGTTTGCAAATTAAACCAAATCATTTAGAAGTAACATTCTAAATCAGATTTCTTCTAAATAAATTGTGTTTATAATTTGAGTATATTCCGATCATGTCTATCTGAAAGCAAGTAGTGAATGGGTCTGAAGGATTTTAATTAAATTTTATTCATTTATCCTTATCCTCTAAATTATCATCCAAAAAGATTTTTTTAGAATTTATTCTATTTCTGCTTATTTTCACTAGACAGCACACATAACATCTAAGAATTCCTTTGACTGATGGAGTGAGGGTGCCATTTTATATTTATTAGTTGATTGGGTCATATTCTTTAAAACAATCTTGAGATGAAAAACTTGTTATATTGTTTATGGATGGAATTGTAATTTGAAACATGGTTGCATTATTTTAAGAAATGTCCCCAACTGGTATTTTTTTAAATTCTGTCAGGACATGGAATTCAGTGTCAGTATGATTTCTCTATTTTTTAAAATGACCTTGAGAATTTAACCACAAAATGTCAATATTTGTCAAGGATTCTTGACAAATTATTCCCATCCTAGGAATCAAATTTAAAGTATATGTAATTCACATTTTTATCATTTTAAATATCAAAGAATAAATATTTTCATAAGTCTGCACATGACAATTTATTTTTAACATATTTAAAATTATAATGATGTAATTAGATAACTGATCTCCAGTATGCAGTCACGCACTGTTTCAGGATTAGAACCTAAGTCTCCAACTAAAAATAAATCATGCCTTTTTTGTTTTGTTTTCCAAGTTAATTACCGTTTTTTTTTTTTTTGAGCCCTGAAAAAATGGCTAGGCCGTCTTTTTGGGGGTGACTTAATTCCCCCCCCCTTGCATCTTCGGGTGGGCGGCGACGGCTTGGATGTTGACCTTGGCGTTGGTGGGGCACTTCGTATCGGGGTCAACGCAGGCAGCACCATATCCGGGTGTGCCACAAAAGTACTTCCTAGCGGCAAGCCCCCCCACCATTCCCCCCCATTTCACATGTTTTAATATAGGCCTTAATTTGGGGGGAGGGGCTTAATTTCATTTCATGCCTATAAAACATGCTGGGACTTCCTATTGGGGGAGGCCGTATTGTTGGAGAAACAGGGTATGTAGGATAGTATATTCTTGTGATCTGTCGTTCATTGGCTTAAATAAAGGCTTCCAACTTTTCCCCTTAATATTAATCACTACATTAGGGATCCCCAAACCATGGTCCATGGACTGGCACCAGGCCACAGCATGCCAGAAACAGGCTGCACAAACAAGTAAAGCCCCATCTGCCAGATGCAGGAAGCATGTGAAAGCATGCCCCTTCCGGTCCATGGAAAAAAACGTCTCTCTATAGAAACTTGGGGCCAATGCACTACATCATCAATGAAAATTTTTGAGGATTAGTACATGAGTCTTTCCCAATGCAGTCTACAAATCCCATTATAGTAATTAATTTCATAAACTTTAATTTTAAAGATTTAAAATCTAATACATTACAATAGTATATTAACTGCAATCCTTTGTATATCTATGCAGAAGCAAAGTGCATTGGATTTGTTCCTGGGTTAAGGCTGCAATTTGGAACATATTTATCAAGGATTTCCCACTGAATTGACTGAGATTTCTAAGTAGACATATAACATGCAAAATAAAAGGAATCAAATCTAAAATGTGTCTAATCTACATTTTACCATTTTTTTAGATCTCAAAAAACAAATATTTTCATAAACCTACATATGACAACTTACGAAAGAGTTTAGAAGCTATGAAAATCCATTGTCTGAAAAATGCAGTAACTCACATTTCTATGCCAAAGTAAGCTCATTTTTATATTATAAAGTTACTATACTATATTTACACATTGACAAAATAGTTTTTCATTAATTGAAAATCTTTTACTTTTTTATTTATATTTTGTCTATGTAAAGGCTCCACAATAAGTCCAAAAAAATTCTGGAAGAGCTGCTGACTTTAGATTAAGCACATTCAGAATATATTTTTGTATATTTAAAGCAAAAGACCTGTTTTCATTGAATTTGAAGGTGTTATTAAATGGAAAATAACACTTTTTAAGTTGTGATACATGGTTGTATAACTGAGAAAACGTACAGTGTTTGAGAGCATCACACTTCTTTAGCTTGAAAAATGTGACCGAAAATGAGCTGCTTGTTAAATGGTCATAATTATGGATGAGTTTAGATTTTAGTTTAGTGATATACCTAATAAACTAGTGAATGAAATTTAGTTCCTTAGAATGTTACATCCACACTTATATTTTTGTGAGATATAAGATTTTTTTCCACATGTGGGCAAATAATAATGGGGATGTTTCTTTAGGATAAATCAATAAGTATGACTATTGAGATATTTGGCATGCGATTAGTATTGTATCATATTTACACCTAATATGTTGGTTTGAACTAATCCTTGTTTTGGCACTGCTTATATGTTTCCTATAAATCATGGTGAAATAAATGTTTCGAAGAAAATACCCAAAAGAGACACCTTGTATGCTGTGTATTTCAGGATTGGTTGTGGACTTGACCGTCTGGACTGGAAGAAAGTTTCAACAATGCTGGAAGAAGTATTTGAAGATACCAATATTCATATTACAGTTTATACTCTTTAATTCCTAGTAGAATTGTCTGTTCTGTTTGTTGTTATATCCTTGTATCAGTATCTTACCTGGCATATGCTGATAGTGTTATCTTAATTCCAGTGTTCACAATTCTTTAAGTCCTCTTCTGCTCTACTCAAATTTAAAAAAAAAGTCAAAATGTACATTCTAGTGTTCAGATACTTTGTGTATCTATCTCCTATTTAGCAATTGGAAGATGTTATTTTAAGAAAAACACTCAACAAAACTGATTTTTTTAAATCTAGATTGGCAATCATGTGGAAAAGATTGGAATAGGATGGAAAATTATGTTTAAATGTTTACCAAAAATAAGATGTTCACGTATATAAATAAAAGACCTTTTCCAAATATGAGTGTTATGTATTTATGTTTTTGAAATACTGCAGTATATCAGTTGTACATGAAACATTATTCGTGTCCACCCAGGTCCATTGTTGAAATGTATGGAGGTGCTATGTAAACATTCCACGAACAAGTTTGTACACCTCATAGAATGCCGGATCAGATTTGCTTAGGTTGTGTCTTTAACAGAGTACATATTGCTAAAATAGTAAATGAGTGATAAATTAATGTAGTGTGAATATGAAGGCAATTTTTGACTATCTCCAGGCCAAATTTATAATAAAAATGGATAATGGAATAAAAATCCTATTTTAAATCTCTGTGAAAGTGGCCTTTTCAAATTAGAAGTGTAATTGGGGACAACTTACTGAAAACTGGGTGTGTTTAGTGACATTGTATTCTTGTCATTTGTTTAATTTTAAAAATAATAAAATAAAAATGCTTTAAATAAATTTTGTAAGCAGCTGAGCCAGTATTTATTGGGAAATTATTTCTCATTGATTAACAGACCAAACTGTTTTATAATGTATATGCTAATTAGTTCACAAGTGCAAAAGTACTTCTAACTCCCTCAACCAATGCTTTGTGAATGGTCATTGTCAAAATAATTAGTAATCTCTCCGTATTACATTTCCCTTTGATTTCTGCTATTCACTGCATATTAATTTAAAAAATGTTAATGTTAAAAATGTTAATGTTTTAATGTTAAATTTATTTTTTGAAGTTTCTTTGGATGGGACTTTTCTAAACTTGTGATAGAACTTTGCTTTGATTCTGTTCTTTGTCATTTGTAATGTTTTCAATTCTATGTGAATAACAGCACTGCAGGTTTATGTATTTAAAAAAACCAGATCTCTACATGTATTTTTAGTCTATCAGCATAGCAGTGTGTCAGCTGGAGACTTCTGGTGTTTCCTATTTCAAAGCAGCTCTGGAAAACTGAGTTGAGAGTCCCAAATGTTAAGAGTATACCATGCTTGTTGCTCCATGGGTTGGCACATTTTTTCCTGGAGAGACAGAAAAAAGAGGCACAAAGTGGTTTTGTCAGCAAATGGTGTTTTATTTCTTGCAAAATAGGAGAACTAATACAAATGTTCCTTATTTTGGCAAGAGTATGGTTTCTTCATTTTTTTTTAATTCATAAAATCCATTTGGCACCCTTTATGTAATCAGAGACACTTTCATAATAACGTCTTCAAATCTAGGTTGATAATTATATAGAGATTGAGATTTTTGAGATTGAGATTTTTGCCAGGTAGGATATGAAATAGACAGCAAATAAGTTTCCTAAACAAACAAATTTAATGTTATACTTTTAAGATTCCAGGTTAATTTTATTGCAATTTATGTGTTTGTTTTAGTGGATTAAAACAACTCTAAAATATGATTTATGTTCTTTTTTATACTCTGGTTCAAATTGATGTGATTTGCAGCACGGAATTTGTACTGCAGAAAATGCAGCACTACTTGAAAAATGCATCACTATAATAGATTGTTATATTCCTGTTTAAACAGCATAGCAGATGGATTAGGGAGAGGGATGTGGTTTAGTTTTAGAACATTCCTTTGCATTTAGAAATACTGTTTTAATTCCAGTGAAGTATCTCTCTGAAACCTTAGCAGCTGCCACTGTTGAATTAGATCAGTGTTTTTCAAAATTGGCAGATTTACAATGGGTGGAGTTCTAGGAGTTGAAGCCCACACCTTAAGGGTGCCAAGTTTGAAAAATACTGAATTACAATAGATACATCATATGTTTCGCTTCTTGTAAGACTGATTCCTATATTCATTTGCTATTTCCACCAATCGGTTTTTCTAACTGACCTAATGTAGATACATGGAGTCACTGCCATATGGAAGTGGTGAGTGAAGAAAAAATGGATTCCATGGGATTCAGACTCTGGAAGCACTATGGAAAAACAAGCTGATCTGTGAGTCCAGGTTGGAGCAGAAACAATCTTGTAAAGAGGCAATAAAAAGATGGGGTTTTATTTTTAAAAAGGGGCAATTCTATATTTTGCATGTCTTTCACCAGAGAAAGAGGATCACCTCTTTTCCATGGTTGACTGAAAACCAGGAAAGAAAGACTGCAGCCATGTAGACATCTGTGTTAAAGATTAGGGAATTGTAACACATAGCTAGAGATTAGTGAAACATGCAGATTAGAATTCTAATCTAGAAGCCAATTTGAGCTATGGAATTTTGCTATTTTTGTGCATAATCCACTTTGAGGGAATACTGTCGTAGCTGAAAGCAACTTTGGAAATCACTGTCAATTTCTTTTTTACTTTTGTGCTTTTTCAACCTCTAGTGTTCTATGTCTGCATATAAAAGACTTGAATTCTTGATACTTATTCTGGGATCAGCCTTTAGTTAAATGTTTCTCCTCGATCAACCTATTGCCAGGACATTCATTTCCTCTTGCTGTCTCCTGGATAAATCTAAGGGGTTCTGCAATGTGCTAGCGGTTGATAAAATAGGATTCAGTATGCCTCTGCCATGAAATGCAGAGATGTGTGCTCTAATCTGCCCAAAGCTGCCTCGTTAAAAACCAAAATAAAGTTTGCTTCTTATGATCTTGACAGCTTGAAGACTTGTGGACTTCAACTCCCAGAATTTCTCCTCCAGTCATACTAGCTCAGGAATTCTGGGAGTTGAAGTTCACAAGTCAAACTTGCAAAGTTCTGAAGAGCCTTGCTTATGATGGCCTGAAAAAGTACCCTAAACAGGGAGATTTCAAAATTGCGCTTAACACTAACCTCAGTGCAAAAGTTCAGCAAGCTTTTCATCATAAAATTGGAAGTTCTCTTGAATGTCTTCCCAGGGTGTAAATGCCTTTGCTGCTTCTTCCTCCTGCTCTACAAAGTTTTGCCAGACATACTCAAAATCTTGAGGTTTCATGATCCTCAATTTACAACCAGCTGTTTTCATTTTCTTCAAGGCGGTTTGCATGTCAGGTTCCTCCCACATGAACAGACGACCTATTGCCATGGAGAGATGTAGGTTCTTATTCTTCTGAAGTGCTTTAGTTATCCGATCAGCACAGCCTATACAGGGGCTACAACTGGAGTACCAGGTGACATTGTAGCACAGGCCAGACTCGCACTTGGGCAAGATAGTATTGAAGAAGGCATCTTCTGCATGGGCTGCTGCATGTTCATCTTCCAAGTAGCCCCGTAACATTTTGGGCTCCTTGCCCTGAATCTCTATGATATAGCATAGGAAAGTCTTGTTTCTTCCTGAACTGTATTCGACATTCTTGAACTGGAAATTGAAAAAGCAGGCTGGAAGCCGTTCCCTGGAGAGAGGAGTGAAAGTATCAATGTGGAAACAGAGTTTATAATGTAACCCCCTGTACGGTTTCTATTTTGTTAAGATAATTTTATAACAACACTTGCTCCCCAAAGTATACAAGTGGGAAGCAACTTGACACTATTTCCCACTTAGAGTTTATATAGAAGCAACCTCACCAGTTAGTACTGTGGAGTTTGCTTTGAATTAGAAAAAATAAAAAGAGATGATTCACACAATATTACAACTATCAGCAGCTTTTTTTGTTGTTGTTTTTAGAGCTATTTCCCCCCCAATGTAATGCTGTCTTAATGTATTGGGCAATATTTCTTAACTGGATAAAAATTATAGAATTTCAATTTAGTACTTTAATTTATTGGGATTTAAACTGGAAAGTTGTGCAAAGGGTAGATTGTGTGCTATGTACTGTTTTTGTAATCTATTGGAGATATAGCCAATTAAAAGCATAATTTACATATTTTATAATGGTGCTGCAGTCTACTAGAGAAGTATGTAATTATTCTACATTTTCGTTATCTAAAGCCAGTAGCCAGTAAGCACTTTACTGACATTTTCATTTCTTTTCTACCAGTTTTCCCCTCAGAATGGATTTTTTAAACTCATACACATTACCCAATCAATATTACTTAATATAAAAATAAAATCAATAAAGCATAAATAGTTCTTATTTTACTGAAAATGGATGATATAATTATCAAGTCTTTTAATGTAAACCTTTAAAAACATTTAGCACTCTTTTCTTTAATTGCAATATAATTTAAATGACTTTTATACCAGAAGCCTTATGGAAAATAAATGTAAATCATCTAATGTCTCCATTATTTTTTAAAGATTCCCAAATGCATGTTCAGTGAGATGTGAACATGTGAGAATACTACAGAATATTTTCAATGGCAAATTTGTAGGAAAGGAAAAAATCTTAATTTTCCTGTCCCAGTGACCCCAGTGACAATGTTAACAATAGCCTAGATGTTGCAGTGTAAGATGATGGTGTAGAAACAGTATGATTGTACCTCCAAAACATTTACAATTTTCTGCAGGTCTGTGGTAATGGCAATGGATATAAGATTTTTTTTGGGCTTTTTCATTGCAGAGAATCTCCCTTATCCCCTTCCCTTCTACTCCAGTCTAGTCCAATTAAGAGATTAAGAAGGAAAGGAAAGCAATCTTCATAACACATGTATTCATAGACTTTGGATGCATGCATGTCTATAATGACCATTGCCAGGAAATTCAGATGTCAGCACCTCTTCAATTATCTTGATTTCTTAGGCAGTTGATCTATACTGCTGTGAAGTATGAGATAAACAGATTTTGAATTAACCTTTCTGTATAATACTGATGTACAATTTATATATGCTGTTGGAAAATTTAAATTAGAAAATTTTAAGCTCTTTGTTTTGAAAAATTGTTCATCTCTGTTATTATTTTCCCTCTGGGTTCCAACTAGCAAACTTTTATACTACACATTTTTGACAGAATGCTCACTATTATTAAATACTGAAGTAGTTTTCTCATTATTTTTATTGACCCTAGGAATTTACAGGTAGCCCTCAAGTTCATTTAGTGACCATTCAAGTTACAACAGCACCAAAAAAATGACTTAAGTTATGACCCTTTTTCACACTTATGACCATTGCAGTGTCCAGGGATCATGCGATCACCTTTTGCGACTTTCTGACAAGCGAAGTCAATGGGGAAGCCAGATACCCTTAACAACTGTGTTACCAAATTAACAACTACGGTGATTCACTTAACAACTGTGGCAAGAAAAGTCATAAAATGGAGGAAAATTCACTTAACAAATGTCTTAGCAACATTTGCAAACACAATTGGGCTCAATTGTGGTTGTAAGTAGAAGACTACCTGTATTGTATATCCATATGTAGACAAATGTTTTCAATCATTTCAATATGATTATATGAAGGGTGCATCCTGAAAATAATTGAATCTTCCACCCCATAAAACTGTTTTTCTTTTAAAGAAAGGATATATTTTATTTTGGCTAAATACAATTTAAATAAAATAAATGACCAGGTTACTCTATTATTGACAAACAAAACAGAAAATCTTGTGATATCTTTAAGATTAAAAAAATGATTATCTCACAAGATTTTCTGAACCACAGTACAATGTAGTTTCATTTCCACATTGATATAAAATATAGAAGCCCAAAAAGTGATGGTGGCTGTGCACAAGATATTTATTAGGTGTCACATTTCTTGTACTAATGAATAGATTGGTCTTTATTTAATCTGTATTAAAGAATTTTGAACCTCTTATTTCTAGATTAGTTCTTTTATGAAAAGTTATATTTTAATATTCTTCCACCTGAGGAGAGCCATCTATCTATCCTGAGATCAGTGATAGGATGCTATTCCTGCTAAGTTGCTTATGTCTTAAAACTGGTTATAAAGGAAAATGGAGCAAGGAATAATCTTAATTCTAAAAACTGATCTGGCCATAGGACACACAGTTTCAGAGATACATCAGTTTGGGGCAGAGTTAAAAGAAACTTTGGCAAGAAAGCAAATTTATAATCTAGTGATTGTAGCTGAAATGTTTTAACTGCCAGGGATAATTAGGCAGCACTTGTTATTAAGGTTTTTAATTCCTCATTAGCTAAATGTCTTTTTTCATCAGGCTAATATGTAAATAATTGAATCTATAACTTAATTTTGTGGCCACGGGGGTGATGTAAATCTTAGAATAATATTGTTTTATGAATAAAACATTTAAATTAAACCTGATGAAGAAAACTGGCATACTTATTGAGGATGTAAAGAAATTTAACAATATTAAAAAAGCAGGCTACCAATGTTACTTTTATTTTAAATAATATTCAATCTATTAAATAAAGTAATTTGACAGACTCCTTAACCGAAAATTTTAGGTCTGGGATAAAATTCCAATCTAATCCCTGATGCAATGACGACATGAGGCTGACAGTGAGAAAGACCTCTTCATCTGTATGACCTTTAGCTTCTTGGAGATAACATGTAATATAACTATCATCAATAAATTAAACATTATGCTTTCCTAGTTCCCCAGGGTACATAATTTCTAATTTGCTGTTCTAGCAATCGAAACAGAACTAAAGACTAAAAACAGAATTAAAGACTCTGCCTTCAATGAACCTATTTAATTTGGAGCTTGTCACTCTCTCTCAGTCCAACTCACCTCATAGGCTGGTTGTTGTGAGAAAATAGGAGATGGAAGGAGTAAATAAATAAATAAATAAATGATCCTGCATAACTCCTAAATTTAAGTCACGTCTGCTTTCAGTTGAAGGGCACGTGGACTTGAATGACATAATGGGCAGTCACACACCAAATAGATTTATGGAAGTCAAACCAGATATTAAATATGATTTATTCCACTCACGGGCAAGCTTAAAATTACATATTTAAGTAATGTTATATATTTTAATAAATATTAATGAGCAGGGGTGGGATTCTACCAGTTCGCACCTATTTGCTAGAACCGGTTGTTAACATTCTAAGCAGTTCAGAGAACCAGTTGTTAGAAGAAATTACTGGCCTAATCCTGTAAGGAAGGCAGGAAGGAAACATTCTGGTGTTGCTTACAGAAACTGCCTCTCCGTTAACCCTTATTACATTCTTGGCAGGACTAGACTTCCTGTCTCTGGAACGTCTGGAATTTTTTCCCTCTGCTTTGCTGGTACTTTGCTTGTGTGGAGTAACCATTCAAAGTTACAGTGGCACTGAAAAAAGTGACTTATGACCATTTTTCACACTTATGACTGTTGTAGCATCCCCACAGTCATGAGGCCAGGCGAGGAGATGCGTGCCTCGATGTGAGTGATGTTGAGTTGGCCACACACCCAGCCAATAACATGACCACCAAGCCATGTTCACCCAGCCACATGACCACCAAGCCATGCCTACCACTTAAGCCACGCCCACAGAACCGGTTGTTAAAAAATTTGAATCCCACCCCTGTTAATGAGTATCCTCCAGTCACACATTTGATAATTTTTGTTATGATTAAAATTACAGTTTAACAACTTTTGACAATCTCTGAGTGCCATTGCCTATTGGCATGTCGGGGGGGGGAACACACATGGTCTTGATCTTTCATTCAGTACTACTTTCCTTTGCATTAGAAACTATTACTTTAGGCAGGAGTTCCTGTAGGACAGAATACTTACAAAGACTTAGAAGAGGGAACTGTGAGGCCTGTGTACCTGTCCTAGCCTTGTTGATCCTATATGCTGCTAAAACACCATTACCTCAAAAATGAGCAAGGTTCTCTGAAAGGAATGGAGAAATTCCATTGCGTGCTTTGGTTCAGCTACCGGAATATCTTGGGGCAGCTTTGATTTAACTGACCAGAAGCAATGCCCAAAGGCATTTTTGAACCATGAACTGGAATTATTTTATAAGGACTGTAGTGCAGGGGTGTCCAACCTTGGCAACTTTGAGCCTTGTGAACTTCAACCATGGCTGGCTGAAGAATTCCAAGGGATGAAATCCATAAGTCTTAAAGTTGTCAAGGTTGGACACCTCTGCTTAAGTTTATAATCTTACTAGGGAGTTCAGTGGGATTTATTGCTTAAAGGATGGAACATTTGCTTACATTCTTACTGTAGTTTCAAATAATACAATACTCTCTGCACCAACTTACAAATTGGCCCAAATTGCTTTGTTGCTATTTTTGCCATTAGACAAATGACTAAAATTTATTTAGCCATTGCTCCACCCTGGCATGGCTTAATAGGCTAGGCTAGAAAAATGAATGCCTATCATAAGAACTGAACTTTAAAGAGCTTTCATCTAGAATTTGTCTATAGATTTGGATAATAGCAAAGTATAGTGTCAGGGTTTCACTGCAAGCTTCACTTATTAACACTTACTTTTCATAGGTCACGTGTGTTTCTAAAAAAAAACAAATGCCATAGACAGACAATGATTCCAGCTGACAATGACTTATCTAGATCTTTCACTGACACTTATAGCAATTGTGTTTTTTTTAAAATGTACAAAATAAAAACTGAACTGCCACAGCTGAGGTTCTAGCATGCCATTTAGGAGATTGTAGGATTTGAAATCCAACAAATATGTGTGGTGCTTAGTTGATGAAAGGTGTGATAAACCAGTTAGTTGATTTTTGATTAAATGTGTGCTATAAAGTCAGATTTGAGTCTTAGCAACTACACAGACTAGTTTCTCCAGGAAATATAATTACAATAGTTAGTTGTAAAAAGCACCAAGATAAATGCTACACACTTGATTCTGAAATCATATCAATAATATTTAATTCAATTATAATTTAAATTCAATTATATTTAATAACTTATACTAAACCTTACAAATGCTTAACAATTTTTTTTCTTTGATTCCCCTCCTCTATAAATGATTGCAGAAAAGAATTCCTGATACAGAATGATCACTCAGGCTAGGTTTGTTTTTCTCTTATCTCAATCCTTTCAGAGTTATCCAATGAACTTACCACTCACTGCTGCAATTAGGCCTTTCTGTTTGTCTGATTTTATGTACCTCCAAATAAACTAGCAGTTCTTATTTTGCCAGGGAATGAATTTAGCCTTAAGTTTCTCCAGTTCTATCCTTTCCTTTTCCCTATCAGTGCTTTTTAACAGTTGGTTTTTTTTATATGCATGCTTTTAAGCAATCTTATGGGCTTTGCAAAGCAAAACTGTATTGCTAAGTCATAGATAAAATTTCTTTTTTTCATTTGCAAGGGGAGAATAATCATTTTAGTGTCACACATGATCATGCTAAAATAAGTGGCTTTGCTCCTGATATACCGTATTTCAGCTCAGCCTGGCTGGATATAATTTAAGTCGCTCCCCATTTTATTGCAGGATTGAGATTCAATCTGCTTTCATTATTAACAGCAAAATCCTCACATGTGAGACTGGCATTTCTTTTTAAAGAAACCTGTGCAAACATGTTAGCTTATGCAGATTCCTAAGCAAGGAGTCGCTCCTATCAACTTGGCAATGAAATCGGGCTCTTACCCTGTGACAATTTCAAAGGGTGGCAATTCCTCCAGTTCCTTCGGCTTTTCTGCCTCCGCAGATTCCTCTGCATTTTCAGCCTTTTCACCATTCTGGGCTACTGGAGGTTGTTCCTGCTTCTCAGCCATCCTGTTGTACTGTAGTGGGTGCCCAAAGACCACAGCAGCGGCCAAGAACTGGGCACAGGCTTCAGAAGCAGAAATGGAGCAGGGAGGGAGGCAGAGAGCTGGAGATGGCAGTTCTCAGGAGCTATATATGGAATGGGTGCAGTGGCAGAGATGGGAATAGGCTAGGATGACCCCTAGCACTCTCGGATATCATCTCCTTCACTTTTAACTCTGGCCTGAGACATTCTTTCGCTCCCCCTTTATTTTAAATATGAAGTGATGAGTGGAGCGTGGGTGGATTAGGTAATGGAGGGATGCAAAAGCAACCTATTTATCCATAGCCATGACAGAAATCTGACACGGTACAGAAGAGCTGGCCGCTCTCCTATGCTCTTGGACTTACTGAGATGCCTTCTTCCTACCCTTGAAGGGACCACCTTCCAGAGGTGCCAAAAAGAGGCAGGTAGCTTTGTTAAAAAGAATGCTCCTGATTTTATTAGGTGGAACTGAAATAAAATATCAGAAGGTTGGGTTGTTGTTGTTGTTTTGCTCAAAACCTGAATTTTGTTCCTGACATGAAAGTGAGAGCTTTAAAATGCCTTACTTCCTAGGCAGATGTATTGAAAAGCACAGACTGGAAGTATTTCAGGTGAAAGTATTGCACTATTATCTGAACCTAATTGATTTCAGTTTTCCTCACCTCCTTAGGCAGCTGACAGAAAACCTGTTGGACACAGTTTGACTTTCATTGAAGATTTAAGAATGCTATTATAAAAGCCTTCTAATGCTCAGCTGGCTTTTTCCTTTGTGACTTACAGTCAATCTGGCAGTGTGAATATTGTGCTCAGCTGGAATTCCAAGTTAAGGGACCAGCACCAACTGCTATTATCTTGAGGCAAGATATTAAAATAAGAATAAGAATGTGCAAATGAATGTGGAAATGTGAAAAATCTAACTAGATGAGGTATGAAATTGATTCTGCTTGAGATATGGGATGTGCCATGGACTTTGCAGCTGGCTTATAAGAAGTAAAGCCGGTTCCTTCTCTGAACTGCAGTTGGTGCTGGTGCAAGGAAATGGAAGTGCACTGATTTTTTTTATTAGAGCATTTAAGAAATATACTGCAATGAATATACATTATTCATATTCACTCAGCCATATTATTTTGCAAATAATTGTATTACTGAGACATGCAAGATAGAAGCTAAAGTATGGCAGATAATCTTGTACTTTGTACTCACTTTTACAACCTTTAAAAATGCATTATTATGATATCAACACTGCTTAGATGGTTGACATACTGTTATACATTGATACATCCCATGATTCTCAATTATTTCTGATAAATACCTATTCTATAGAAAGGCAATTTGAAAAAATAAGCACACAACAAAGCACTCAACAAGCATATTTGTAAAACGTATACACTTGCAAATATGTATTAGCCACATTGACAATTAGAATCTTTGTGTAACTTACAAATATAATATGTGACGTGAATTTAAAACTCGTGACATTTTTTTCCACTTCAGCTTATGAAAGATGAGGCACTTTTTTTTGGTGATTCTTTTACATTCTGCAGCTCTTTCAGAATTGAATATTTGAAAACAGTATCCAGAATGGTTGCAAATATACCACAAATGGCTATGTTAGAGAGAACGGGGAACAGTGAAATATCCTGTCTTGTAAAATTAAAAGTAGATTTTTAAAAACAAAAAAAATAATCCAATAAGCCTTTGTAAGCACATTTCAGCCTATCTAGCTCAAGTTTTTTTTTTCTAAATGAAATGTTTTATTTTTTTTCTTCAGTTTTTCTGTTTAATTTTCTGTTTAATACTTACAAAATGACTGCCAATGTTCAAGCTTCAGAATTATTTAGCAGAATTTCCACTGTACCAGCACTGATTAACAAGTAGTACCAGGACTTGATTGTTGGGATGTGTAGAACAGTCCTGGTGCATTTGGTAAATTGCATTGCTGGTGTGGGTTTTGTTATAAAAACTGGTAAGAACAAATGCTAGATATATACCAGTAGATAGCAACCATCTATATATATTGCAGCGTAACCCATTCAAGGTCCACATTGGACCATAACTCCCATAATTCTAAGCCAGGTAGCTGGGGATCATGATATTGGTTGTACCAAAAATCTAAAGGACACTCTTTGATTTTATCTTATTAGGAAAAGTGTTTTTTGTTTATTTTTTAAAAACAATATGAAAAACTTTTGGCACAAAGTTTTTATTGTTTTTTCCCTTCAGTGTTAACTTATGTTTAAATTCCAGTATCCCAAAGCTATGACTGTCACATTTGACATTTTACAGAGGAATTATAGGGATGGGAATCCTGAGCTGCTGAGTGATACTCTTCCCCACCCCTTCTTGTGTCCTTCTGGCCTGCTTTATTTTTGGAAACTCTTGACTGCTGGATTAATCAGGGTCCCATCATTCTTACTGCTTTAACTTTCACTGGAGCCAGCCAAGCCTTGCAGATCAATGTTCAGCTTTAATCTTATCTCTGGAATGTAGATCTGGGCTAGAAGTTTTCTTTCCTCAGCTGCTGCTGAGCTCCTTTTAGGGCAGAACTCGGCATTTGTACAGACCGACCACCAAGGGCTCTGCCATAGAGCAGCCACAGATGTTACGTAGCGATGCTAAGCTTTGCAGATCAAATGGTATATTTCATTCTATACAAACACAAAGCTAAGCTTATTTGCAGACATAAAAGGGTGCACGTGCACGCATACCGCACCCTTCTACCCCTTCCCCCCCCACCCAATCTATTAGAAATAGAAAGAATTGCAAAACAAAATTAGGTGATTCATCTTATGCCTGATATAAAAAAAAAGAGATTTTGCCCATTGTGTAAGAAAGTATGTTCTCTTCCCCCCAAACCAGAATGGGGAAAGTATAACAAGAAGCAGAATCCTGGATTTTCCTAGCCCAGTTATAATTAAGAAAGTCTCTTGATTGAAGATGTGGAAAACCGTAACATGTCATTGTTAGCCACAGTTTGATCCAATGTGAGGCAACTGTCTATGAAAACCTTAGGGTAGTGGTGGCTCACCTTTTTCGGCTCCCATGCTGAAAATTGTGCACACTCGCGTACACGCACTCACGTGCCAGCACCCAGAAGGCAATGCGTGCGGGGAGGCCCCCACGCCCCTGCGTATGCGTATGCATCTCTGTGCATGTGCATGCGACCCCCCTGTGTGTGTGCACCATGCATCTCTGTGCATGCGTGCATGATCCCCCTGCATGTGCTGCACATCTATGTGCATGCATCTCCCACGCACCCCGGCACATGTGTGCCAGATACCCAACAAGCAGGTCAGGCGCGTGGCATGCACACATGCACAGTAATGCTCTTCCAGGCAACCTCTTGCGTGCCGGCAGAAGTGGCTCTGCCATAGGTTTGCCATCACGGCCTTAGGGAAATTGATGTTCTCAGTATGGCTGTACAAGCCATTTGTTAAAATAGTGGTGATCCTTATGCAAAACTGTCTTCTATAAACTGGCATTCTCTAGATGTGACGGACTTCAATTCCCATAATCCCTTACAAATCATTGGCTATGCTCAATAGGGATTATGAGAGCTGAAGTCTAGATATCTAGAGCTAGAGGATATAGAAACAGCTGATAAAAGTTTTCCCCCCTAGGAAATACATATGAGACAATATACTTAGGTGTTCTATATTCTGAATATGCAGTAACATCCACATTGGATAACTTATCAGCTTTAATAATTAGGAAATTTAATTTATGTTAGGGCTGCTTTGATATATAAATAAATAGAGTTTAAAAAGAATGGTTGCAATAATTTTCTATAACATACCTTTAATGTCCCCATTTTTTAAAAAAATTCATCATTTTTATAAATTCAATTTGACATGAGTCATTTTTTCTATGACAGTTCAAATGTCACCCTGACACACATGTCTGATCCAGTTATGTCCAATATTATTCAGTACTTCTATATTGCCCTGCCAAAATTGTCCTGCAATCTGTCAAGTTTATTTAAAAAATGCAGGGATTCTTATTCTTTTTAATGTTCAAACATATTAAAACAGTAACAATCTTAATTTCTACTACTTATAAGGCTGGTCAATCACAATTTATGATCTAGTCCTAACTCCACCCAGTATGATTAAAGCTAGCTTTTATCTCATTGTCTTATAAATATTGTGCAGCAGTCAAAATTGCCTTGGCTCTATCCATTGACCGCTCTCCTTAAAATTATGTTTTTGTTTAGGATCTTTTGTCGATCAATTGTTTAAGGGATGCTTTGTTGGGTTGTGTGCCTATGTTAGCATTGCTAGATTTCCAGCAACCTACCTAGGTTATTTTCTAATTATAAAGAACTCTAAAGAGCAACAGCCTCACTGGTACAGGATCAGAAAATACTTAGCTGGCCAAAGGCAAAAGTGAAATAAGACACTGTATCATGCAGAGACGAGGTGTGCTCTTTAGAATAAAAGGGACAGCTGGTTATCAAAATAAAACGTATCCCTGGATATGTTGTATGGCAGTAATTCCAAAGCTTCACTGTCCCTTTCTGTGTAACTATTGCAAAGCAATAAACAATGAAATAGTAAAGGGGGAGGGAATGTCCTTTGTTTTTCCAGCTTCATAGGCCATAGCATCTCTCTGCCCCACTCCTAATTCTTTGGAATTTTTCCAGGAGTGTCAGGGATAAATTGATAAGATTTCATAGCTGTCTCTACATTTGGTCCCTATTGTAGAACCATGCTCATCATGGAGTAGCAGCAACATGGGGGGAAAAAAATCAAGGGGAAAGATGTTCATATCATATGATAGCTTGCATTGTCTTTCTAGAATTAGTTGGATTTTTTCCCCATACTTATCAGCATCCTTAATAAGATTTTCAGAATGCAAGGACACCTGTAGGAGATGACAACATGAGTTAATTCAACAGAGTCTATTGCAATAGATATGCTTGAATAATTTAATAGCTAGGTATATTTTATAAATGGGTGTAAACTTAGATAACCCATTTATTTTATGGAAATCAAAGAGTTCTGGGACATAAGTTTTGACTAGGCAATTCTGTGAGACATGAGAATGGGAAGTAGCAATTTACCATTCATCATACTTCCCATTCCTGCTTGTTTGAGATTTCCATAACTAAAGTTTCAGAAAGTAAATGCTATT